ATTTTTTTCACTGTTAGAAACACCTACAAACGAATTCTTCTACATATCTCAACTCTACACCACCCTTTTTTCTCGGTGCATTGAAAATCTGGGAGAACTACAAATAACTACAAACCATTTTAGACAGAAATCCGAGCTCATTTTGGCTATAGTTGTTAACAAGTTCCTACTTGAGCTCCTAAAATCGATCAGATGCTCATTTGAGTTCGGATTGGGAAAATTCTAAAACTACAATCAAGTATGAATGTTGGTTTATAAGATTCTTCATTTTTTTCACTGTTAGAAACAACTACAAACAAATCCTTCTACATATATCAACTGTCTGCCACCCCGTTTTCTCGGTGCATTGGAAATTTGTGAGCACTACAAACAACTACAAATGATTTTAGACAGGAATCCGAGCTCATTCTGGCTATAGCTTTCAATCAGTACCTACTTGGTCTCCGAAAATCGATTGGACGCTCATTTGATTTCCGATTGCGAAAATTCCAAAACTACAATCAACTACAAACGATTGCAGATAAGAATCCCACCTCATTTCAAATACAACTATGAAATAGTTCCTAACTGTTAAAAAAAATCGATTGAACGCATATTACGATTCCGATCGTGAAATTTCTAGAACTGCAATCAACTACAAACGATTGCAGACGAGAATCCAATGTCACTCCAGCTTTAACTATGGAATAGTTCCTAACTGTATTTCAAAAACGAATTGGACGCTCAATTTCAAACTACAAACAAGGAAAACATTACTACTATCACGCGTAGCTCAAAATCTATCAATTATGAAATGTTGGTTCAAATCCAAGCAAGTGGGGTGCCCACTTCACGGAGCTGTATGATCCCCCCAAATAATTTGACCCCCAATCGACAAGAAAAGTTGAGAGAGATTCATTACCAGCTGAAGATTCACGATAAGAAGAAGAATCGTGAATAATACATATGCAGTTACTACTTTCGTGGATTCTTAAGAATACAAAACAATGTTAATTTGCTATAATTTAAGATTGCATATGGGAGAAATTGACTGCTACACAGTAAGAACTGAATGTCGCTTTATTACTGTAGTTTAATATGAAAAAGAAGTCTATGAAAAAGTTATTAAAAGAGAGATATTTATAGATTATTTAAAAGAGTTTTCTATGACGATGAGGAGACAAAAATCCCAATGTTGCGATTATACAACTTGTTTTTCACTGAATATATATATTTTTTTCTGTTTTTATTTCTTTGAAGATTTAGGAAGAGTGGTATGTTTTAAGAAGCATCCGATACACTTGAAGTGTTCGTTTATTGGATAAATGTGTAGGACTTTTGTAATCTTAAGAACAAGAAAAAAACGTTTGGTCATATGAAATATTATTTTGTTACATTATAGGCGTTTATGTACATCAACTAATGTATGACAGAAACATGACAATAAAAGTTGGTTGAAACATTCAAATTTATATTTCATAATTATATCGTCGCAGCATCTTCTTCCCACAATGAATCATCAATTTTCTCCCACGAAGAATCTCGCATCTTGAGTGCATAGTAAACAGAAACTAGCTTCATAGAACGTTCTACACTCAGACGATTTCGGAGATCAGAATGAATGAATGCCCAATTCGAGAATAGTCGTTCAATCTGCGCGGTTGAACTCGGAATGTTGCAGATTTTCGTTGCCAAACTAGATGACGCTGGGTAATCGATTTCTGCCATGCACCAGAAAGCCTCAGGAGATTTAATGTTTTTTTTAATTAATCGTTCAAAAATTCCTTTCCCCTCTGAGTATTCTCTCAAACCTTCCAACTCGGTAGGATCCTCATTGGCTAGTTCTTCATGCAAAAACTCAGATACTGTCCTATTGAAGAACTCCAAATTAGCGAATTGTCTCCCCCGATATTCTGGATGCAAATAATTTGCTACCAAGGCGATTGGCTGCAGAACCTTATTCAATCTACCTTCCAGAGTTTTATCGATTGAATCACTCTCAGTTGGGATATTCAGTGTCACCCAGAGCTCATCTGCTTCTGCGAGATTGGTTTCAGTCCTTTGGCACTTATTTACCAATTCACAAACAGGATCAAACCGTATTAAACAATCTTGTAATCGTTCTTCGAGTGTAGTATCCTCCAAAAGTTTAGAATTTTCTGATTTCACTGTAATAATCCCTTCCTTCTCTATTCGTCTCATGATGTGCAGGTTTTTCAGACAGCAACGGAATGCATCCCTGTATGAACACCATCTAGTCTCACACGCAAGCATGATTCTCGTTCCATGACGTTTTTTTAATTCTCTCTCCCCTCGAGAACTTTTGAACTCCCTCAATAACTTGTTAATGCATTCAGCGAATTTAGGATCAACGAGAGATTTCAGCAATAAGTTACCACTGTGAGAACTACAGGTGGTATGCCAAACACTCACTAGCTTGCCCATCCGCATCATTGCTGAAGCATTGTCTGATACCACTGAATAAATCTTTACCTTGAATTGTTCTTTTGCCATGACCACAGCTTCATCAATAATATTAGCTAACTCGTCCCCAGTTTTTCTCAGCTCTGTGAAATCCCACGAATTCAAAAAAATACTCCTCTTATCCTTAGTAAAAACAGTGCAAACGACATTTTTGGTGTTGGCTGAGGAATTTTTCCATCCATCTGTTAGTAATACGCCATCTATCTACTTGTTGTATTCTAGTTGTTTAATTACTTTTTGGTGAATTTGATCAAGCAGCTTGGTGAAGAGCTTTTTCCTCGATGGAACTTGGTACAAGGAGTTCAGAGTTTTGATGAATTGCTTGAAAAACTTGGATTCCACTACATTAAAAGGTATATTGCAGCCGAAGAAAAATTCAGCCAAAGCCTCATCAATTACTGAATCTGCAGAACGCTAGAAAAACAACATTATTGATGTTCATTTTTATAATAAATCACGTATTTATTCTACTCGAATGTATTATTTGTACTTACGTTGGGAGTGGATTTTTTACGATGATCATTCATATTGGAGTATTTTTTTATGTTACCCAACTTTCAAATAAATACTTTACGATTCAAAATGTATGTATTATTATTGACACTTATTTATTTATTTATATTATAATGCCATTTTTATAATTGAAACATCAGTTCACATGAATTATTTCGAGTCCACCACTACTCAGGCACAGCTGGTTATAGGTTAGGGAGTTTTATACCAATTGTATACCTTTTTTACCATTTAGAGGTAAATTACCACTTTTATACGATGTACAGGTATAAAACCCAGATTTGCCACGGATGCCCAACCCTGCTGCCGAGTTACCGGGACAGGCAGCTCGCCCAGCCATTAGAATCGACCGTGGCACCCCACCTCTGTTGGGGTCTCACTTATTCTGGCTGCGACTCCTGTCGACTTGACCGACCCCGTTGGGATATCGACACTGCCGCCATCTCCCGGCATTCCCCCTACGGATCTTGTATTATCATTATATACACTCCCATTAATTTCAATCAATTGATAGAAAACAATGTTATAAACAGTGCAAATATAAACTAATAATTCGTCTATCCACTTTTATTGTGTTTTCAGATATCATTTCCCCCTTTTTAGCCCCAGAAAATGACAATCCTAACAGCCACGCACCAGCCACGCAAATACCGTGGCTGTAGCGTGGCTCCTGGATTCCCAGGGGGTCTAAAACCAAATAATTAGTGCAAAAAAATTCATTGTTCATTGTTCATTTGCCCCGCAGATGCTGAAAATTTTAAAAATAGTCCAGGCCCTCCAATTTTTCAGCTGTAGAGAATTTTTTTTTTAAATGTGTACATTAACAATTACGAATTTGTTTTTGGGAATTCGACTCCTACGCAGCTCATTTCGTTTTATTTATTATAAAGATTTGCGCCATTCATGTAAAATAGACAGGAAAATTGTCTTTAAAATATTAAAAATATTTTCTTGATTCTTTCAGAAACATGAATGGTGGAATTTTGTATTTAAAAAATTATGAAATTGGCTGTGTAGAAGTTGAATTTCAAAAAACTAATTCGTAATTGTTATTGCACACATTTTTTCAAATATTTTAAAAACAAAAAACCTCTGTAGGTCAAAAATTGGAGGCCCTGGACTATTTTTAACATTTTAAGCGTCTGCGGGGCAAACGAACAATAAATAATCAATTTTTTTCCACTAATATTTGTTTTTAGATATATATAAACGATTTTCAATGTATGAGACAGTTTATTCCAACAGCCCATCACTTTTAAAACTCACAGTAGTCTCCCCTTAATATGAAAATATAATTTTTTTTGATAGAGTGAAAGGGGAAAAGATTAATGTTACATTATTGCAAAGCAAATGATAAAATATTAATTTTATGAGAAGAGGATGAAAAGAAATATCTCCTTCCATATGAGATAATTACAACTTTTGTTTTTGATCACTAACGTTTCGTGTCCGGAATACTTCCAAAGAAAACTTCTACAAAATGTATTTTCAATCTTATCAAAACGCCTTGTATACGAAATGTCAGAAGTCTTTCTCAGAATCGCAAGTTGTGACTATGTGACTATGTGTCATTCAATCGGGTGTGGCGGTACAGACAAAGTTTACCTGTGAAACCGTACTAGCTAATTTCCAAGCGGTTTATGTTTCGGAAAACCAAATCTCTTGCCTGCGAATGCTCAAATTTTTTGTGGGTGTGGCTCTCACGTACTTTGTTTTGCATGTAATGAAATGTTTTTTGGAAATTTGCTCGTCTGCACTCAAGATCAGTCGAAAGAAGACTTTCAAACAGTCAATATCGAAGTCATCGCTGCGTGAACGTTATTTTTACAGTGAAGTGGAACCGAAATAAGTGAGAATATGCCAGAAATACGACAGATTACCGAAATTACATTAGTGGGTAATGCAATTTCAGAGATTCGCGGAAACCAATTGTCTTCGAATAAGCAGGCTTTACAGTGTCATTTTTATTATACGAGACATACGATACTAAAACTCACGGGTCGTCAGGCTGCGACGTGGGTTGTACGGAAGTGTGCTGTGTTCTAGAAATATGCGGGGATCCCAATTGTGAAGGAATCCCATGCAATTAGCAAAATGGAGAAATTAGTGCAGCAGTACACGACTGTTCTCAAATACGGCTCTAGAAAGCAAAGTCATGTGACAGCACAAGTAAAGGAGATTGACTTCAAATGTATGCTGGACGACTTATTTGATATTGCTCATCAAAAGCAAGTACACGCGATGCGTAACGAAGCAGCTAAGACTTTATCAAGTCTGCATCGAGAGAGGGGGCGGAATGGTTGTTTGGACACAATCATCGATACAGGAAGCTGGGCCATTTAGAATACACAGGATAAAGAAGAAAAAACCGAGGAAGTCGGACAAGGTATGAAAGTTAGATCAGATTTTTTTTCGCATTTTTCGATATGCAATATTTTTTTCTCACGGCTATGAAAATGTTGGAAGAATTTTGAGGCTCGATTTTCTGTTGCCACGGAATGAGGAACCCAAATCCATTCGTAATGTTATTCTATTGTTACCCGATAATTTCAATTCAACGTTCGCTTTCCTATTACAAAGTTATTTTCCGTAGAATCTCCAACAAGCTGGGGGCAGCGAGTATATGATAATGAGCATGTCGCTAAGTGATGTTTTAATATTTTCTTCGCCATCAATAAATTGATGGTTTGCTTCCGAATGGTTTCAGCATTCTAAAATTTTTTCACTTTCGGATATTTTTCCCCATTTTGGCAATTTGGGCTTTTCTCCCCCCCCAACCAGACTCTTTCCAACTTTCTGGATCGTATTTGCTAAAGGTTTGAGCAAAACCTAAGTCAGGGGAAAACCTGACCAGATAAAGTCGTTCCTTCCGAGACTCCTAAATAACTTTCCTAAATTACTTTTAAATCCTTATTTGTTTATAATTACTCTTTACTCCAATTTTGAGTTCCTTTTTCATGATGGGTAAATTGATTGAGTAGTTTTTGAGATATTCAAGAAATTAATTTAGATATAAACTTAAATGTCTCCTAAACTAATAATCCGATTTATCCCATTTTCAGTACGAAACATACCGGTGTAAGGAGGGAACTGTGCCAAATGTCAAATTGATATGTCGATTTTTCAAAAGGTGGCAGTGCTAACAATGATTTTGAGCACTCCCACCGAAAAACCGAAAAATGGAAATATCTCGAAAGCTTCGCATAAACGGGTATGCATATTTTAATTGATTGCGATAGAAGACATCGAGACGAATATTTTGAAAAAAAAATTGAATTCGGTCGAGTAGTTTGTGAGATCTTTGCAGAAAACGATTTAGAAACTAATGGCGATTTGTCAAAAACAGCCAGATTGATTGGGCTAAAAATGGGCAGAGAGTTAGTTCCTATCAAAACCTATAATCTGACAAAATTTCAGATTTCTTGGAATCATTTTAGTCCTTCAACTCTTTAATTGTCTAAAAGTTGGCCACCAAGTGGACAACCGCACATACGCACAAGGCGGTCGAACTTCGTATTTTTACGTTTCAAATCACTCTACATCATTTCCAAGCAAATGTAGAGAATCTAAAAATAGAACACTTTGAATGCTTCCATTCGGAAGCATTGATATAGGACAAATGTGGAAAAACGGGAAAAATCTCTCAAATTTTTCATCTTCAAAATTTCATCCTTCACGCGAGCGTTCACTCTTTTTTTTTATTTGAATGTTTTAGATGAATCATCCATTATAGCTGCAAATTATGGCAACTATATTTTTTATGAGTATGAAGACCTCTACGAAGTATTGGAGGAGTTCGAAGATAATGAAAAAATAGACAGTGATTTTGAAGTAACTCTAGCGCCCTCGAAACCCCAGGAACTCAAAATTATGAGCACAGATATCACTGCGATTCTGGAAAGAGCCAAGCTTAGTGATCGTATGGGCGCACGGGTGTTAGCAGCAATCCTAATGGCACTCGGAATAACATTAGAAGATGTTCGTTTGAGTCACGAAACTCTTCGTCGCAATCGGCGGATACACCGCAAGTCTTTGAATGATCAAATTCGAGATAATTTCAAAAACAAACAATCCCAAATTCTGACCGTTCACTGGGATGGTAAACAACTATCTGCACCTGAAATTAGACATAAAAAAATCGATCGACTTCCAATTCTAGTGACTAGCCATGACTGGAGTCAATTGCTCGGTGTTCCCCGACTTGAGAAACGAACCGGCGAATTTCAGGCAAAGGCCACTCACAATTGTTTGCAAGAATGGGATATCAGTAGTTAAGTAATGCCGGTTCTGGCGCAACGTTTTTGGCGTCGACCTGGTCGTTGGGGCCCAGTAGGGGGGTCAGATGAAAGTGGGTGGGTGGGTGGTTGATTAATTTGTGGGGTCGCGGTTTAATTCGCGGTTTTATTCGCGGGGTCGCGATTTAATTCGCGGGGTCGCGATTTAATTCGCGGTTTGATTGGCGGTTTGATTAATTAATTCACGGTTTTTCCCTCGAAATGACGAAAGGGTTGATTAATTCGTGGTTTGATTCGCGGTTTGTTTAATTAATTCGCGGTTTTTCCCGCGAAGTGACGAAAGGATTAATTAATTCGCGGTTTGATTCGCGGTTTGATTGATTGATTCGCGATGTTTCCCTCGACGTGACGATAGGGTTAATTAATTCGCGGTTTGATTCGCGGTTTGATTAATTAATTCGCAATTTTTTCCATCGAAGTGATGAAAGGGTTAATTAATTCGCGGTTTAATTCGCGGTTTAATTCGCGTGGTTGCAGTTTAATTCGCGGTTTAATTAATTAATTCGCGATTATTTCCGTCAAAGTGATGAAAGGGTTATTTAATTCGCTGGTTAATCAATTTAATTCGCGGTTTTGCGTTACAAAGGACCTCGGTGGAACTAGTCAATCCACCCCGCGAGGGGTTGAGTGAAGGGGTTAATTATTTCGCAACTGTAGAAATCATAGAAGGGGCTCCTCTTCTTCTTCAAACATTGACACCTGGCTCCACTTGACATGTCTGAACTTGAGTTTTCCGGTACGTTCTCGTTTGCCGCCCCCCCCCCTTCGTATGAAATTGTTGTTGATAACGATATCAATATGTAAATATTTATTTTAAAAAACATTTTCCTGTCACATGTCTGAACTTGAGTTTTCCGGTAC